TTTTTTATTTTTATTTATTATTTATTTTTTTTTTTTTTTTTTTTTAATTAGAGGTGGTAACGGCGCGGCGTGCAGGATAGGCGTGCAGGACAACGAAAACACAAAACCATGAAAAAAAAAGAAACAAAATCGAACGATTAGCGTGTTGGGAGTGGCTCGTACAAAGCGATTGCTAAAGCTAAAGTTTAATATCAATCAAGTGAAGTTAAAGTTAAATCTCGTCGATCGTTTTGTTGCCAGGGAGAGATCGGATAACGGCCAGTCATCGTCATCGTCAGCAAGGATCAAAACTATGACGTACACACACACACACATATATATATATACTTGTACTTTGAATTATATCGCGAACAAAACGATCGATTCGATCGTTGGTACGGTATTTATAAGCGGATCGATTTAAGGTAATTGATCGAAGGATTGGAAACTTACCTTGATAGCTGTTTGCATGAGAACCGTGGTGGCGTAATTGACACCTTTGGACCCTAGGTGCAACACCGCCGTGTAACCCTGCTCCGTCGCGCGGGCTAGAGCTTCGTCGATCTCGGCCTCGCGTTGGATCAACGCCGGATGAACGAAACGTCTGTAAAGGATGCTCGAGCCTTTGGTGGCCGGGCTCAGTAGCCAGATCACCAGGATAGTCTTGATCTCGTAGTAAAATGGAAACCTGCCCGGAGAGAGAGAGAGAGAACAAAATGGAAAAAGACAAGGATTACGAATCAACAGTAAAACACATTCTAAGTAAGTAATTCTACGTGACGAGGGCGAGGAAGAAAAAGAAAACCAAAACGATCGAAATCCCTTGAACCACGACGAGGCCGCATCGTGGACACGAAAATAAAGAAAAAGAATGAAAAATCGGTTGATAGTGATCGAGTGGATGGTGGTGGACGATGGCAAAAGGAAATGAAAGGGGGAGAGAAAGAGAGAGAGAGAGGAAAGCGCGAGGTTATTCCTGGCCAGAAATACACGAGAGGTCTCCTTTTTGGTTGGTAATCCGAGTATGAAGGGAGAGATCTGGCACACGGCGGGGAGAGAAACGGCAGAAACAGAGACGGAAGATGAGACGCTGGTTGAATCCTCAGAAGTGCATGTGTAAGCCAATATCCATCTCGGCCGAAATTAGACTTTTGGAATTTCCCTCCCCTCTTGGAGGAGGGGGTTCACCTCTCGGTTTATTGGCCCCCGCGAAATTCGTTGGAAATTTTATTCGCTTCCGGCAAAAACGGGGCCACGACAACCGACAAACGGTTTCTTCTCCTCGTCGTCTATTTCGAGGGCCCGCTCCTCTTTTATTCTTCCCTCTCCCCTCGTCCCGCAAACGAGATGCGCTACGTTAAAGAGTTTGGGGGGAGATGATAAAAGCTCACCAAAAGCTGAAGAAGACGTCGGTGAAGGTCTCCGCGCAAGTGAACAGCGCGAACACGATCCAGTACATCATCCATTTCACCTGGAAACGAAGAGGATACGATCTCAATTCATTCCATTCTCGCCTTCTCTTCTTAAAACTTAATAAAGTAGAAGATTTTTGAATTGGAAATTGAAAAATTGATTTAGAGAAATTATTCGAACGAGGTGTTAATTAAACTTATACTCACGTATTCCTTCACATTCTTCGTCCTCACAGCCTTGTAAGAAGCGTAGGCCGGGTACAAATTGCCGAACACTAATCTGAAAATCGGATACAGGAGAACGTAAGTGAGGGATCGGGGCATCACGATTACCAGGAGGGCGGCAAGGGTTCGAAGGAAGCCCAGGCTCATTTTCTTCGGCATCTGTTCGGCGAAGTATCGTACGACAGCGTGAAAGCTCGTTATTATTACACGGGGGGCCCCCGTTTTGCACACGATCCAGAGAAACGGATTTTCCTCGAGTTCATCCGGTCGAGGCTCCTCCCTTTTCATTTCCATTCCACGCGCGGCCCAAATTCTCCCTCACCTCCCCCGCCTTCGTCCTCCCCGCCTGGATTCTCTCCTCGCTATACCCGCGACCGTCCCCTCTCTTCGAATTCTTTTCGATCCGATCCGTCGGCCCGATCCGACGCATCAAACTGGAAAACATCCAACCAAAAACATCTCCCGTCAAATATTTCGTTCCTCGCACGTTTTAAACACGATCTGGAGAGATAGAAAGGAGAGTATATATATATGTATGTATGTATGTATGTATGTGTATAAAAGAGAGAGATAGCTTACAGAAATCGGCGAAGATTTTCTTTCGATTCGAGGAGATCGGAGGCTTTTTGTTTTTTCAACGAGAGAGATGATAAAACTCACGGACTTTGGACTTGAGCCGATCGACACGGGGCATCCTTTTATCGTTTTCGAACGATAGTTCCGTGAATGACGTCGACTCGTGGCCGATTGCAAAGATAATTAGCGGGAGATCTGCGAACAAGCACGATGATGATAGCGATATCTCCGTCTCTCTCTATCTCCCTCTGCCTCGATGCACTTGTTGCATCCTCCCGAACGGAATCTCTTTTTTCACATGATCGATTCGAATCGGCCTACGAATCGACGTAAACGTCGTTGAGATGATGGCTCGAGAGGAAAACTCGATGCGTTTTCGCTCGGAGTCGAAGGCTGTTGCTCCGCCCGCGGATGCTTCCAGTTAAAGACTAAATGCGTAGCCGCGTTCTGGCACCGACGTGTCGACCACACTCGTCGTCTACGGACTCTATTTTAGCGCCTTAAGCCGCTGTCACGCGACACCGAAATTCGCCTATGCGCTCGAATGCTTTCGTTCTTTCATTTTTCTTTCATTTGTTTCCTCCGCGCGAGAGTTGCGTTAATAAAAGGGGCAATTTTAAAGGGAGAGATTGCTTAGATTGTCAAATGAAACGATAATAGGACGTTATTATGTTAAAAAGGGAAAAGGTTTGAAATATTGAAATTATCGAGTAGGTTTTTTTTTTTCTTTTATTCGATGAATAAAAGTGAAAAATTGTGATTTGGACGATGAATTGTATTGCTGCGGCGCTTTCGATTTCGATTTGATAGGACGATTATCGTCGAGGTAGAAAACGATTCTCTCGAGCTTCGTCCAACGAGAATCGCGTGAAACTACGGTTGATCGTGCATCGTAGGTAATTCGATGATTGTCACCAATGTCGCTATTTGATTGCGTAACAGGGCGTCCTTTGTGCGCAGTCTGCGCTTACTATTTGCGTGTTAACGAGATTCGCGGCTGGAATATTTCCATTTTTTTGAAGATTTCAGGATTATGCAGGATTACGCACGAATCGAGAAATATTTTGAAACAAAAAAAGAATAAAACTGTAATATTTTAAATTGTGTATGTAGAAAACAATAATTATACGTTCTAAGGAAAGTAAATTATTCAAAAATTTGCAGATATTTGTAAATATTCGGAAATGATGGAATTAAAATTGAAATTTT